TACTACATTTTTGTAATGCTCTGGGAGTCTCGGCAGGATTTCAAACAATTACTTTATATTGGTAGAAAATTATTTTATCAGATAACTAAGAGGATCTTTACAGTGTGAAGGCTAACACTGACTTTGCCTAGGAATTCCTATGACTTTGCAGGATAAGCAACCTTGAAACTCAATTTGCTAAACCAAGCTAAACTACCAGAATGTTTTCAGATTATCTGGCACAGATAAGAGATACTGGGCTCTGGAGTATGATTACCGCTTAGTTTAATAGAGCCTTTTCAAAATCAGAGTTCTTTATACTGTGGATGTGCCTCAGCTTTTATTTGCCTCGAGTAAAATTTTACCATGGCACAGAAGATGACTCAGTGTTATAACAATGTACATATAACACACATACACCCAAATTCTAATACAATTCACAGAATCACCAAGGCTGGAAAAGACCTTTAAGATCATCAAGTCCAGCCTGTGACCTGACACCACAATATCTCCACTAAGTGTCACATCCAGCCTTTCCTTGAGCACCTCCAGGGATGGTGCCTACACCACTTCCCTGGGCAGTCCATTCCAAAGTCTGATCACCTTTTCCATGAGGAAGTTCTTCCTAATATCCAACCTAAACCTCCCCTGGAGCAACTTGAAGCCAGGTCCCCTCGTCCTGTCACTGGTTGCCTGGAAAAAGAGCCCAGACCCCACCTGACCACAATCTCCCATCAGGTGGTTGAAGAGAGTGAGAAGGTCCCCCCTGAATCTCCTCCAAGCTCCCTCAGCCTCTCCCTGTAAGACTTTCCCACTAGACCTTTCACCAGCCTTGTTGCTCTTCTCTGGACCTGCTCCAGTACCTCAAGATCTTTCTTGAAGATTATTTCAGTCACTTCTGCCAAAACCAAATGTGAAACAACTGCAAAACAAAAATCTAACCCCATGTTAAAATATCACACGTCATAAAAGCATGTGCAGTCTGAGCACACAGTATTGATCAAAGCCATTGAACTGTGTGATTGGCTCTCCTTACTGTCTGTAAGAGGGTTGAACCGTGTGGTCTCCATCCAGTCAGAGCACATCCCATTCAGGAAGGCTTTAACGCTGGCATAGTATTGTTCTTCATAGTCAGACGTCTCATCAGAGAGGTCACACCATGTTCTGTTGATGTTCCTGCATTCTGGCTTTCTAATCCATTTGCCAACACCATATCTATATTGAAGAAGAAAGAGAAAGGAGCTGTACAAAAGCTATTGCCATGATATTCCCAATGTGCAACTGCAGCCCAGAGAGCCAACAGAATCTTGGGCTACATCAGGATTGTGGCCAGCAGATGGAGGGAGGTGATTCTGCCCCTCTACTCTGCCCTGGTGAAACCCTACCTGGAAGACTGTGTCTAGCTCTGGAGCCCCCAACACAAGAAGGATGTGGACCTGCTGGAGCATGTCCAGGGGAGGGCAATGAAAATTATCAGAGAACTGATTAAACCCTTCTAGCTGAAAAAGGGGCATATACATGCCAGCAACAATACCTCAGTACTGACCAACTGTTATACATTAGTAGAAGAAATCAAGGTTTCCTTGGAAAATTCTTGCCTACATTTCCTCAGAAGCTCCTGCTCCTCAAATTCACATTATGCAGAGAATAATTCCCCTTTGTACCAGCTTGGATTTTTCAGTAGCCAGTGCAAGTTACAGGAAACTTACAGAGATCCAAATTTGGTTTAGTGTCAAAGAATAATTACTTGACTGAGAATTGTGTTCATATTTAGAGGTAAAGACTGGGAGCATGAACTCATCCACAACTACAGTGCCATGCCTGTTTATAAGCTCAACTGCCAGCACTGTCCTGCAGGTTGACCCAGTGCTCACTCGGTGGGAATAAAGGAAATGAATTCTGGTCCTTACTCAGATTCCTTTATATCCTACAAAAGTGCAGACCTTGAGAACAGCAGGGCCCAATTCCAAACACATTGTTTTCTACAATACTTGATAACTTCCATGGATTTTCTCCTAGACTAGTGAGGCTTGCAGAAAAAAATTGTGGGAGTTTTGTCGGCTAGAAAAGACCAATGAAACACTGGGTGCTGTTAATATTCCACATCTGTCCATTTTAATGCCATCCAGAGGGACCTTGACAGACTTGAGAAGTGGGCTCATGCCAACCTCATGAAATTCAACAAGTCCAAGTGCAAGGTCCCACACCTGGGTTGGGGCAATCCCAAGAACAAATACAGGTTGGGCAGAGAATGGATTGAGAACAGCCCTAAGGAGAAGGACCTGAAGGGGTTGGTCGATTAAAAGCTCAACAAGAGCCAGCACTGTGCACTCACAGCCCAGAAAGCAGCTGTGTCCTAGGCTGCATCAAAAGATGTATGGCCAGTAGGGCCAGGAAGGGGATTCTGCCCTTCTAGTCCACACTTGTAAGACCCCACTTGTAAGACCCCACCTGGAGAACTGTGTTCATTTCTGGAGCCCTCAGCACAGGAAGGACATAGAGCTCTTGGACTAAGTCCAGAGGAGGCCATGAAGATGATCAAAGGGTGGAGCACCTCCCCTGTGACGACAGGCTGAGAGAGTTGGGGTGTTCAGCCTGGAGAAGAGAAGGCTCCAGGGAGACCTTAGAGCACCTTCCAGTGCCTGAAGGGGCTCCAGGAAAGCTGGGGAGGGGCTTTCGACAAGGGCAGGGAGGGATGGTATGAGGGGTAATGGTTTTAAGCTGAAAGAGGGGAGATTTAGGTTATACATCAGGAAGAAATTCTTGAGTGTGAGGGTGGTGAGACCCTGGCCCAGGTTGCCCAGAGTGGCTGTGGCTGTGGCTGCCCTATCCCTGGCAGTGTTGAAGGGCAGGTTGGATGGGGCTTGGAGCAACCTGGGCTGGTGGGAGGTGTCCCTGTGCATAGCAGGAGGGGTGGAACTGGGTGATCTCTTCCCTTCTATGATTCCATGAATGTATACAGAAGGCTATTGTGTAGAGATGATCTTTGTTGTCTTTCTGTCTCATTTCTCATTTTTTTCCTTCAAGCTTCCATGTTGCATCCTACATTTCTTTAACAGGAAAAAAGTCTCCTTATAATTTTTTTAGCTGGATCTGAAGTAAGCAGTACCAGAAGTAAGAAGGAAAAACCACATTGCTTAAGTCTAACCCACACTTCCTCTACTTTTATCAGCCTTATCTTACATACAGATTTTAAAAATTATTATTTAACATGCTGAAATAAAACTCAGTGGGGGTAAAAATAAACAAGCCAACTTACACTGAATACTTCACCCTGTAAAGGACTCCATCTCCTGTGCCTTCTGGTGCTGACCAGTGAAGGATGTTCTTCATGTTTCTAGATTCAAAATGGACATTCCTAGGGTTGGGCAAAGAACAATACAACTCTCCTGAGAAAGAAAATAAGAAACGAACAACACAGACTAAGGATCTGCAAATACATTTGCTTCCAAGCTAACAAAAAAATGAGACTTGTTTTTAAGTAATAAAATTCTACATACTGCCTTTCTTATCATTAAAAGCAAAAAGTTGTTGGCCATGGAAACTCAGGGTTTTTTTCAAAAGTGTCCCTAGCTTCTGCAGTCCCCAAATCTATCTGCATTAATGCAGTTTTTCTTTAGCAAAAATGGCTTTGCCATTTATGACAGACAGTGGCAAGAAAATATCCAGGGAGTGGAAACTAAAGCTAGAAAGGTGCAATCTAGAATTGACATGCATTTTTTAAATTGTAAAGATATTTGAATATTAGAACAAGTTAACACTAGAAATTGTGAAAATATCTTTGATGCTTCAGTAGAATTTTCATTGTAGCTGAGTGGACTTTTAAAAAACAAACCATGTATTTTTTAAAAAGACACGTGGAGTCTACTGCAAACACAGCTTTACAAAAAGACATGGCTTCAGACTGGAGACATCAGACTGGATGACCTAAACAGCCCCAGGGTGACTTAATCACCCCTAGTGGCTCTCCAAAAGTGAGCACCTACTGTTAGGTCACTGTCCTGTCCCCACTGGCTTGGGGGGGTTGTTTTTGATTCTCTGTGCAGCACGAGGAGGGACTAATAAAAACACTTTGCTCAAAACCCAACAACATGAACAGCTGGAAAAAGGCACACAGCAACAATATCAACCCACTACCTGAGGAAACACCCTCCCAGCTCCACAGGTTTCTGAGACATTAACCCATGGCATGCTGGTGCTGGGATTCCACAGCCACTCACCTAAACTGCTGTTAATTGCACCAGCTTTTCAGATGAAGTCTGAACCCCAAGCTCCCTCCTGCCATGGGAGCTGCACCCAGGGGAGCAACCCTGAGACCAGCGCTGAAGCTGCTGGCAAGGACCTTACCATAGAATCATATAATAGAATCACTGAATGTGTGGGGATGGAAGGGGCCTTTTAAGGCCACCTTGTCCAGCCCCCCTGCAGTGCACAGGGACCCTTTTAACTAGATCAGTTGCTCAAAGCCCCATCAAGCCTGACCCTGAATGTCTCCATGGATGAGGCCTCCATCACCTCTCTGGGCAACCTGTTCCAGTGCTTCACCACCCTCATTGTAAAGAACTTCTTAATGTCTAATATACATCTACACTGCTCTAGTTTAAGGCCATTGCCCCTCGTCCTCTCACTATCAGCCCTTGTAAACAGTGCCTCCCCAGCTTTCCTGTAATCCCCTCAGGCACTGGAAGGTGCTCTAAGGTCTACATGGAGCTTTCTCCTCACCAGGCTGAACACTCCCACAGCTCTCAGCCTGTCTTCACAGGAGAGGCACACCAGCCCTCTGATAATTTCTGTTTCCATGTTGCATCCTACATTTCTTTAACAGGAAAAAAGTCTCCTTATAATTTTTTTAGCTGGATCTGAAGTAAGGAGTACCAGAAGTAAGAAGGAAAAACCACATTGCTTAAGTCTAACCCACACTTCCTCTACTTTTATCAGCCTTATCTTACATACAGATTTTAAAAATTATTATTTAACATGCTGAAATAAAACTCAGTGGGGGTAAAAATAAACAAGCCAACTTACACTGAATACTTCACCCTGTAAAGGACTCCATCTCCTGTGCCTTCTGGTGCTGACCAGTGAAGGATGTTCTTCATGTTTCTAGATTCAAAATGGACATTCCTAGGGTTGGGCAAAGAACAATACAACTCTCCTGAGAAAGAAAATAAGAAACGAACAACACAGACTAAGGATCTGCAAATACATTTGCTTCCAAGCTAACAAAAAAATGAGACTTGTTTTTAAGTAATAAAATTCTACATACTGCCTTTCTTATCATTAAAAGCAAAAAGTTGTTGGCCATGGAAACTCAGGGTTTTTTTCAAAAGTGTCCCTAGCTTCTGCAGTCCCCAAATCTATCTGCATTAATGCAGTTTTTCTTTAGCAAAAATGGCTTTGCCATTTATGACAGACAGTGGCAAGAAAATATCCAGGGAGTGGAAACTAAAGCTAGAAAGGTGCAATCTAGAATTGACATGCATTTTTTAAATTGTAAAGATATTTGAATATTAGAACAAGTTAACACTAGAAATTGTGAAAATATCTTTGATGCTTCAGTAGAATTTTCATTGTAGCTGAGTGGACTTTTAAAAAACAAACCATGTATTTTTTAAAAAGACACGTGGAGTCTACTGCAAACACAGCTTTACAAAAAGACATGGCTTCAGACTGGAGACATCAGACTGGATGACCTAAACAGCCCCAGGGTGACTTAATCACCCCTAGTGGCTCTCCAAAAGTGAGCACCTACTGTTAGGTCACTGTCCTGTCCCCACTGGCTTGGGGGGGTTGTTTTTGATTCTCTGTGCAGCACGAGGAGGGACTAATAAAAACACTTTGCTCAAAACCCAACAACATGAACAGCTGGAAAAAGGCACACAGCAACAATATCAACCCACTACCTGAGGAAACACCCTCCCAGCTCCACAGGTTTCTGAGACATTAACCCATGGCATGCTGGTGCTGGGATTCCACAGCCACTCACCTAAACTGCTGTTAATTGCACCAGCTTTTCAGATGAAGTCTGAACCCCAAGCTCCCTCCTGCCATGGGAGCTGCACCCAGGGGAGCAACCCTGAGACCAGCGCTGAAGCTGCTGGCAAGGACCTTACCATAGAATCATATAATAGAATCACTGAATGTGTGGGGATGGAAGGGGCCTTTTAAGGCCACCTTGTCCAGCCCCCCTGCAGTGCACAGGGACCCTTTTAACTAGATCAGTTGCTCAAAGCCCCATCAAGCCTGACCCTGAATGTCTCCATGGATGAGGCCTCCATCACCTCTCTGGGCAACCTGTTCCAGTGCTTCACCACCCTCATTGTAAAGAACTTCTTAATGTCTAATATACATCTACACTGCTCTAGTTTAAGGCCATTGCCCCTCGTCCTCTCACTATCAGCCCTTGTAAACAGTGCCTCCCCAGCTTTCCTGTAATCCCCTCAGGCACTGGAAGGTGCTCTAAGGTCTACATGGAGCTTTCTCCTCACCAGGCTGAACACTCCCACAGCTCTCAGCCTGTCTTCACAGGAGAGGCACACCAGCCCTCTGATAATTTCTGTGGCCCTTCCCTGCACTCATTCCAACAGCTCTATGTTCCTCATGTCCCTCTTGTGTGAAGGACTCCAGAGCTGGACACAGTACTCCAGGTGGAGTCTTACCAGAGTGGAGTCAACGGGCAGAATCACCTCCCTTGACCTGCTGGCCACACTTCTCCTTGCTTCTCACAAGCTTCTCCTTGTGAGTGGCCACAAGAGCATAATGGGGAAGAGAAAAAGTGAATCTGTGGTTTTTCAGGACTTTTCAAAGCCCTTTAAGCTTTTCCTCCAGGGATGCAAATCTAATTCTTAAGAAAAAGAGATGAAGAGGGAAATAAAGCACAGTAACACGAACAGAGATAACTTGCCTGAATTAATAATCCTTGACCTTTGTTACTCCCTTAAGCAGACCTTAAGGGGTTTTTGTAGCATATTTCACTATTACTATAGTATTCATCCTCCTGTACATGTAACATACAGTTGCTTTTGTAAATAAAAGTCACCGCCATTTTCCTGATTAACTTGCTGACTTCGGGCTGTCTTTGAGCCAAACAGTAAAAGTTTTTCTCTTCAATGCATTTATTAAAATGATATCCTTGCAGTTCTGTAGAGGCCAATTACTTTAAACTGTCTCAGTGGAAACTCTTTGAGTTTTCCAAGCCTCCAGCTGCATGCTGATGTTCAAAAGAAACTCTGGTATGTCCCTGCATCTGTATCTTCAGATCATAAGCTGTTTATGGAGGGTATTTCTAATGTTGCTTTCGTTTCTCCAGCAATTAGCTAATGTTCAGTGGGTTTCAACTTTTTTCTAGTTGGAGAACAAGTTTTGGCAGATAGAGTCCTTAGGACAAGCCTATTTATTTTCAAAGAAGTATGTAGAAAGTCCCATTTCCTGAACACTTGGACACAGAAATGCCCAGGGAGTGTCATCGTGCAAGAGCTCAAACTACAGACTCAGTTATAAAGAAATAAAAAAAGTTTCAGGATGCCAGAGGATGTGAAAGCAGCAGAAATACCTCCAGGAAACTGTCTTATTATTAACATTTGGTTCCAACTGGGAGATACAGAACCTAGAAAATAAAAGGTTTTGATTTCCCCCAAAATAAATGTCCTCTGTAACTGCTTTAGGTGAGGCTAATCCAAATGTAAAGATGAAGCTGCACAAGAGTGAAAAGAACTGCCTAAAATCTGCAGTATCTGTTCAGTAGAACAGAGAAGCTCCTAAACCACTAATGTGCATGTTACTAAGCACAAACCAAAACCATCAGTACACAGACTGTGAGAAATCATCCAAGTTTTATTCTTTGTACTGCATCCCGGCACTGAAGCGTGTGAGACTTCAGGAAACCCACCAAATGCATAATCAACAGTTTTTTTTTAATTTCACTCCTCCCAGTGTGGTTTCTGCTGTGGTAAATGAAGTTTCGAAACAGAAACAGTGACTGAAGCAGATGAGCCAATCTCAGCACGCAGAACCCACAGACTGTATCTTTACAAGATCTAAAGCATTACAGCACTGCCAGCATGCTCTCACCTGCCCCCAGCTCAGTGCAACCTGGAAGGCAGAAGGACTGAGACCATTCACTTTCCATTTGCTGGAAAAGCAGAGATTTGATTTCTATTTCTAGTTTTGCCCCTTCAGCAGTAAAGGCTTCTGTTTGCCCTTAAAAGAAATAATGCAGGTTTTTTATTCCTCAATTCTGCATCTGTAAAACAAGAGTAAAACTACCGTAATTTTCTGTTTCTCCAGGAACAGTTAATAAACTCCTTCATATCTATTTGACACTCAATAGTACCAGAAAATAGATAATACACAGAACTTGTACATTCCATGGTTATCAGCCAGGAAAGGACTCAGTTATGTGCATTAGCTGCATTATTTCAGTATGTTGTCTTTAAACACAACATATCCAGTTACATTTCCATTAACCGGGATTAATGGCATAGGTGTCACATGGATTGTTTTCAGTTTGTACTGGCCTACCTGAGAGCAGAAATCAGTCATACCTGTTGCTTTGCCAGGTTTAGTCTGTCTCACTGGCAGTCCGTAATGGCTGTCATCACTTCCCAGGATAACCAAGTTAATTAATTTTTGGCATGAAAAAGCTGGAGCCCTTATTACTGTCTCTGGAAATAGTGTAAATCAAACTTTGAGTAACAGTATTATTTGTATCTTCGTAACTGCACACCTGGACTGGAAAGGGAGTAGTATAGGCTTGCAAACTTCACCACCACAAAGAAGAGCCAAGTCCTTATCTTACAAGAAGCTATTGCCAGACTCTCCAAAACAGACACAACTTAGCCTGAAAACATCTTGACCTGTGAGGAAAAAGCCCACTGACGTCAGTGAGATTATTCACATGAGTGAAACACTGCATGGCAGGTGCCTCATATTCTCTTTGTGAAAGTGTCTGCTGGGTTTAAAAACGTGGTCAGTTTCAACTGTGGAGAGCTCCTGCCAAGTGTGTGCCTTGCTTGTGTTGGTACTACTCAAAACTTAGCTCTCCATCTCTACCAATGCACAAGCACAGGTTTATACAAATATATAAACAAATATACACACATAATTGCCATGATACAACTATTATCCCTTCAGTATCTGCTGTTTATCTGCTAGGAGGCACCACTGCCTAGGTCACTGACAAGCAGCTGTGTTCAATCTGAAAGCTACAGAGCAAATACAGCTGCACCTACCTGTGAACACATTTGTTAACTTCTCACTTGACTCAGGTAACCTTTAGCCTAGCAGCTGCAAAGTGTAAAAGTACACAAATGCATAAACCTATTTTTTTCTGTACACTGATTATAGTCTTGGGGTGGGGAGAAGGCAGAGGACCTCTGAATGCTGACCTGTTGGCACAGAAATGCCTCCTGTGCAAGTGCTGTTGTTGACTGTGATGCTCTCAGGCAGGGTGATAATCTGCTGTGTTTTACTGTGGCATGGCTACAAGGGCACAAACACTAGATTATCCAATAAAATAAAACAACAAACAAGGGCACAGGGCTTCTCTAGACAACAGTAAGATATAATTTAAGGCAGTGAGTGATGTGGAAAGCAGTGACAGAAAGGTGAGCCTTGCTGCAAGACAGCTTTTCCCAACAGCCACAAGCAGTAAAACCCAGGAACTCCTCCCCTACAGTTGTCTCAGAATTTAAACAAGGGACTCCTTTTCTGACAACAGAGGCTTCGGCTTCAATCACTGTCATATTATCTTACACAGAATTGGCCCTTGGGAGCACCTCTGATGGAAGTGGCTGCTTTGTGCTGGGCACCAAATCTACAGGCAACATGGCAAGTACTCCTTGTGCCTCACCATGTGCAGGTGCCACTTCAAGATCTAATCCATGCTCACAGAGGTTGGTGGGAGGGCAGACTCTCACCCAGGGTGAGTCCTCCATTCACCTTGTCCTGTTGGGAACTTGGACCCACCACTGAAGCATCAAGCAATTTAGGAGAAATCTAGGACACCAAACATTCACTTCTGCTGATGCTCTAAGCCACTTTCTTTAGTCTTTCTGGTCAGCTTTGGGTGACTTCCACCAAATTCCTGATAAATCTTTGCTGATTTTTTCTATGCTGTGGATCTTAATTTCTTAAGGATTTTTCTGTTGTCTTTTCTTCCTCCAGCTCATCTGTTTCAAATGGTTACATTGATCTTGGTGAAAAACATTCTCTCAAATGCCTTCCTAAGCATGACATACAAATGGTCACACTCAATCAGAACCAATGCCCATTTAGCACTGTGTGTGGTGACACTCACTAGCAGAGGGCTGGTGCTGTCTTTTCTGGCACATCTGCAGCCTCAAGCAAGCTGGCACTGGCCACGCAGGAATGTGAGGGCTACCGAGCGAAAACTGGAGAGCAGAAGTTACAGAGAGGAAGGGAAACCCAGCAAAACCAGGAATTCCTGCTAGCAGATGGCATTACCTGCTATTAGTCGTCTTAGCAACAATTTAAATTAATTAGCTAACTTATTTTTAAATTAAGTTGTCTTGAAAGTTTTTCTCTGTTCTGTTTCTTTTCTCAACAGTCTGGATAATGAGGAGGAATCAAGGAGTCATTACAGCTTGGCTGCCTTTCTCCTGGTGAGAATTTGGAGCTCTGGGAGGTATGAAGCCAGGCTGGCAAAACCTTTGGACCTGAGCAGCGTTGGTGGGAATGTGGGGAAGAGACACAGATAATTTCAATTCATCACAGCACTTGAGAGCCAACCACAGGACGGGAGCCTGACCCTCCCAGTTCAAGAAGAGGCACAGGGGAGAGGAAGATGGGGACAGAAACAGTCATGAGACTAAATGTAAACCAAGGGGTGGAGCAGACAGAAAAACGTGGGAGAAGAGGTGCGGGAGAGAAGGACAAGGCTGGGGCAGGTGGGGTTTGTTTTGGAAGAAGCAGGCAGGCTGCCACGGGACACGGGTGGATCCCCACAGGTCACGTGGGGAAAGTGTGCAGGTGGAAATGGGAGAGATGCAGAAGGGGGACTGAAGCTTTGGCTTGCCCCAACATGCTCACTTCCCCTGTAGAAAGCCTTGTGTTTATTCATCCAAACCATGTCCTAACCTACAAACACACCCCTACAGAGAATATTGGTCAAAGAACATTCCAGACTCAGTCCAGAAAGACCCAACTTCAGAAAGGAGGAGAAAGTCTTCCCAGTTCACCAAAGGCTTGCTAGGAGACAGCGGGGGAGGACCATGGCAGCTGACATCCATTCCTTTTTGCTACCTTGTATGACAGAAACGAAATAAACTGAATTTTCTTCCCACTGTGTTGAAGGTTTGCTGGTGCAAGAGTAGAGCTGGTACTGCCTAAACCTTCCCTTGTTGCACTCAACAGAAGAGAGTTATTCTACGTTTGTTTTCTGCTACTTCTGAATGACCAGTACTGGCCTGGAACAAAGTGAGTAAAATTCAAGGTGTGCGTGTCTGAAATGACTTACAACCCCTTCACGGCTTTCAGAGTCATAATCCCTCAGAGGCTTTGCATGTTGGTTTGTTTTTTTAAAATTATGATATCAAATGAGTGTTTATTCAGTTTGGAATGCAAAGCCATTTTTTGTTAAAAATACTGAATTACTTTAAAAAGCCCACTGTGGAAACAACTTCTTTACACAATAGCTGCTTTTTAAAACAGATATTTTGAAGTTATATAAAATATTATAAATAGCCCACCTGTTCAGGCTTTGAGGATTTCCTTTTCTCCCTAGACCAATTTATTACTACTTAGATCAATCATCACCCAACAGCCATGAAAATGAGAGTTTAATTAGAATACCTGTGACACCTTACATTTGTTTTTCAAAATAGCCAATGGTTTTCCACTTCTCCCCACAGATGATTAAGGACATAAGTGCCTTTGGAAAGCAAATGCCTGTAGAGAACATTCTGTGAGAACTTACAAGAAATGAGGCACCCACCCATTTCTGTTGGTCTCCTGTCAGGTGCAGGCTGGTGTGTTTTGAGGCACTGCATGACTGTTCAGTGTCCCACAGTAGTTTCAGATGTGAAC